GAATTTTCAGCATCCCAAACAGAATAGGCTGGATCCTTCACATCAGGCTTCTTCGTGTCTCCTGTGATATAGCCAATTTTCCCTCTCCCTCTGATATTCATGCGAACAGATTGTGACCACCGGAGAAAGTTGTCACCATTTAGTCGGATTGTAGTGATCTGAATAGGGTGATTTTCAGGCAGATTCCTGACAATTTGGGGCTCAGGCTGAAAAGGCTGAGGAGGCTGAGAACTAGACGTGACTTCGGACATTTTTTAGGGACAGAAACGCAGAAACAAACCCTAGGTCTTTTCTGCTCTGATACCATAAAGAAGAGGCAGAAAGATAATAAGAATGAGATGATTTTTTATGCTTCTATACATCAAAATTTATAGCTCTCTCTAGGATACAAACTAGGTAGCAGATCTCCCTAAATAAAGGAAAAAATAAAACTGATTTCTAAAAATATTTGTACAGCTCACAAATCTCTCAACTACCTAAAATAGTACATAATATAATACATAATTACCGAAATCTTCCAACAAAAGATAATTCTGTCCAATTTAAAATTGGAGTCACAACATTGTAAAACCCTCTAAGCTCAACCAAAATAGAAGCCCAGAAGTATAGTGACCTGAAAAGTTTGGATATAATTAGTTGAGCATCTCTTGTTTTTAAAACATGTGCTGATTTTACTGATAAAAGGAATACATGTGCTGATTTTTCTCCTTCCTGAAGGTCCAGCAAATCACAAACAGTAATTTTTTCTGTATGTCTATCTTAGTTTTGAAGCAATTTGAAGTTCTTATTGGTTAGTTTCCTGTTTGAATTTGGAGTCTGTTATGGGTGACCCAAAACCCAACCCCAGCTGGAGAAAGGTATGTTTTATATGGTGTGGAAACCTTGGCAATTTATAGTTGAATTTCTGCTGTGTTGGATTAAATCATGCATGTAACCCACACTTTTTTTATTTATTTAGATTTATTCATTCCTTATGGATGACAACTTGCGCCTACCTTATTGTTAATAGACGGCAAATGTCTAGTTAGTAGTAAAAAGAAATTAAACTAAAAGGCACATATGCCCATTTTTGCTATGTTTTATGCATTTTCTTTTGTTTCTTTCTTATGCATTTCTTGGACTGCTTATTAGTTTATGGTCATCTTATTCATCACTTCCTGTGTTACTTGTAGGCACGACAAGTCCATCCAGATAAAAATCCAAATGATCCTCTTGCAGCCCAAAATTTTCAGGTTAGTCTTGCAGTTAATTATATTATGGGTCTCTGCATCTCCCTATTATGCTTTTGTTAAATATTTGTATAACATTTCTTTGAGACAATTTTGTTTTCCCTACTACAGTTTCCCTTTATTAGGGAAATGCTATTGAGGTGAATGCTAGGAACAGTTGGCATATGAACAATATTGACTATGTATTGGGCCAACAATGTGTACTAACTGAGGAGGTTTTACTCATCTTGCCAAAGAAAAAACAGAAAAAAATAAAGAGGGAATGCAGTTTTTGTTGGAAAAGTTTTGAACCAACTTCTCTTTACAATTTAGTCGTGTCATATGTAAGGTGGTAGATTTGCCTGTCCTTTTGTTTCTTGGTTGACTTGCTAGAAATTGAAATATTGAGTATTATTCTTATAATTGGCTGTTAAAATACTAAGCATTTGTGGATGTTTTTCAGGTTTTGGGTGAAGCTTACCAAGTATTAAGTGATCCAGCACAACGGCAAGCTTATGATGCTCATGGGAAATCAGGAATTTCAACGCAAGTTTCCAGTTTCCATGCATATTGTTCTATAAAATAATCTACATAAATTGATGTTGCCGTTACATTACTAGAACTCCATTTAATTAAGTTTTAGTTTAACATTTCATCTTATCATGCCATTTGTACATTTCATTTTCCAGTGAAGGGATCATTGATCCAGCAGCAATCTTTGCTATGCTCTTTGGGAGTGAGCTATTTGAGGAGTACATAGGCCAACTTGCAATGGCATCAATGGCTTCACTTGACATATTCACTGAAGGGGAAGAATTCGATGCCAAAAAGCTGCAGGAGAAAATGAGGGTATTTTTTTTTTGTCCTCTTTCTATTAGGTTCTTCAAAACACTTTTCTTCATTCCTTTTACACATGCATGATGTTTTTAATTATATTACTATCGTTTCTCTTTAAAGGCATAGTAAGGGAAAATGTTCCTGGAATGAAACGAGTCTTAAAATCAGTGGAGATGGTGATTGTGTGGTTCGACATGATCTTCCCCCTTCTTTTAGGTATGGAAATAAATGCTGATATGAAAATGCTAGCTACATCTATAGGAGGATTTCATCTACGAGGCTACAACCAAATAAAAAGAGAAACCATCTCCAAGTACTAGAAGCATAAGAACATGTGATTAGTGAATGGCATGTTGTTTCCTCACTTGTATTACAAAGAACATACCAATGTGGAGACAAATGCCAATCATGTCTTCTGTTTTTATAGATTTGTAACAAGTGTTGATTTTTTTAAGGAGAATTTCCCAATGTAAAGCTCTAATCGTAAGAGGCACTAGTTTACCCTAGATTTCTATGACTGAAAAAGACTGGGATGGTGGAGAATGGGTTATAAATCTAAGATTGACAGTGAAATTTTTTTAGCAGATCCCAAACTTAAGGTTTAATCTAGATAAGAGTTATCGAGTGGGGATTAATGTTGGAGGTTAGGAACCTTGCCTCCTTTGCAAAAGATTCCGTTGTCACTTATTGTTCAATGAATTATTGAGTTCTTCCTCTTGGAGCCAGCTCTAAAGAAAATAACTTTTGGAACCCCATTTTAGAAGGATTCTCAGAGAGATAGGCTATTTGGAAGAGGACTTACATTTCCTTGGGTTGTAGGATAACCTTGATCATGCCAACCTTAGCTAACCTCCTTATCTACTTTTTGTTTGTTTTTAAGATCCCGTAGTTGATGGCTAAGAAGATTGAAAAGGTAATTTGAGACTTTTTGTGGGAACCTGGTGAGGGCAGAAGGGATCATTTGGTAAAATGGGAAGTGGTGTAAGGAGTGTTAAGAATTAGGAAATATAGAAAGTAAGAACATTACTTTGTTAGAAAAATGGTTATGGAGTTTGCCTTTAGCAAGGAAATGTTATGACATAAAGTAGTGTGGTAAGTGTTCATGGGTTGGCGGATAACAGTTAGGATATTGGTTTATTTGATAGGACAGCAAGGGCTTCTCCTTGTAAGGAGATTAAGCATGATTTTATCAAGTACAATGCTTGTTCTGGTAACAACATTAGATTTTGGAAACATGTTTTGGTGGTGGATTCACCCTTAAAGGGTCTATTTCCTTCTTTGTTGTCCCCTCATCTTCAACTAAAGGTTTTGATTGGGACTCGGGTTTTAGAAGGGGTGTCCAAGATTCAGATCTTTCCAGTTTAAACTATTTACTTCAAATCTTTGGTCCAGTATTCTTGGACCCTGTTAAGATTTATGGTTGTATTTGGACACCTAAATCCCTTGGTCTCTTTCACTTGTGCTTCTTTTTTTTAGGACTTTGAATCCTCTTTCTTTCATCTCTGCAGCCTTTTCCTGTGAAAGAGGTTTGGAGCCAACCTATATCCCTCCTAATAGGGAGATGTTGCAGATAACGGGGAAGGTAACGAGTGATGAAAAAGCTAAAGGGATGGACAAAGAAAGAGTGTGGACTTTGATTTTGATTGGAAAGCTGGGGATGGAGCTAGGTAGGAGAAGAGTCGTAACCAACCCGGGACAAACTAATTCAGAGAACCAAAAGGCAGAGGACGTGTGGAAAACTAGAGGTTACAGTAATGGACAGCTTGTTCATGTAACGAAGGTTTTTCATCGTCTTAGGGAAGGATTGGTTGGGAATGGTCCATGTGACAGATTTAAGAGAATTTACAAAAAGGAAAGGACACGAGGCAAACTCTAGATCAGAAATGTCCGATCAAAAGCAATGCTGCAAATGATTTAGAAGCTGATGCAGGCAGTAAACTCAAGGCACACAGTAGAGACCAGAAGAATAAAAACAAAAGGAGAAGTTTCAAAGACTCGGGACAGAAATAGAGAGAGAGAAAGAGTAGAACAGATTCGAAAGGACCAAGAAGTCAAGGAATTAGTACAAAATGGGAAAGTCTCTCAGTTTAGTTTTTTGGGGAGGGGAAGGCTTCGCAAAAATAGCATTTGAGAAGTTTGAAAAAAAAAAAGAAAACAGAAGAGAAAAAGAAAAAAGGAAGAATACTTAGAAAAAATCAAGGGATGGGACGAGGAAGGGGGAGAAGAGGAGGGACTGGAGTGATCTTGGGGTTGGTGGGAAGACATGGAGAGGGGGAGGAAGATGAGGTTTTGTAGTTGGATTGTGAGGGGTATGAGAGAAGGAAGGAGGGAGAATGGGTGGAGCATTGAATATTTGATAGCAGCAGGAATGAGCAATTTGTTGAAGTCTCCAAAGCCGATTTGTTTGAAAATTTTTGGAATTGTCTTGATTTATAGCCTTGTAATGCAGAATCCTTTTCATCTTTAAATCTTTGAGAATGTATTTGGTGTGTCATCTAGACAATCACAAGGGTGTTAGAATGTAATCTTTTTCTTTAATGAATTTTTTATTGATTCTTCAAAAAATATCCCTCCTAAAATAGGTGCATTTTGTTGGGAAGTTGGCCATGAGAGAGTGGATATCCTTCGCTTGCTTCATATTAGGAGGCCTTATTGTTGTTTGTTTTTTTTTTTGGATCAATAACAGAATTGCTTTAGAATTATGAAAATAATTACAAGATTGGTAGAGGTAAGCTTTCTTAATTCTCCATAGACAAAATTGCTATTACAATTGAACCCAAAACAATTGATTCCTTCCCACCCCTTGTTTTGCTAAGACATTAGAAAAACCATTTGCTGTCCTTTAAACCCAACTGAATTGCATGTCCATATCTTGAGTCAGCCACTTGAATCTCTTTTTTTGATTGTTGAAAATCCAGAAACCCTCTTCTTTCTTCTGCAACCACTCCACTATTGACTTTGCATCACCTTCTATAATCAGCTTTCATACATTCAATTTCTTTGCCTTTTGCAATCCTACCATGACAGCCATAACTCTTAAGGTATGTTTGGTTTGAAGGAAAAAGTAGGGAAAGGTAGAGAAACCTTTACAGACCTTGTATAGGTTTCCCTACTTTTCCCTTCCTTTCCCTACCTTTTCCTTCAAACCAAACATAGCCTTAAGGAATCAATCACCTACTCCAATTGGGCCTGAATATAGTCCAATGGTTCTGCCTTCACTATTCCTAAACATCTCTGCAATACTAGAGGGATTCAGGTTTCCTACACTACTCCCATCAAAATTCAACTTGGTGTAGTCAATCGTTGGAGGAGACCAAGTAGGGCATATATTGGATTTATGACAATCAAAGCTAGCCACTTCCATTTGTTCATGATATCACCTGTCGAGAAGACAGCAAACATCTCCATAGATTTTACCCAATGAACAACTCTCACCATAATGGTTTCAATGACAACTTCTCTTCTTTCCTTCTCTGAAAATAGTCTTGCATTTCTTTCTTCCCATATAGTCCAGCACTCGGCTGCTCTTACACATCTCCATAACACTTGTCCCCTTTTCTTTGGCCACCTCATGAAAGTAGAAGCAAACAAGCTTTGTACATTAGTTGAGGGAGACCACCTACATCCAAACAATTTAAAAAATCACTCCCAAATAAAAACTATAGAAGTGCAGGAGCCAAGAGATTAATAAATGAAAGGAAGTTTCTCCATTAGCCTTACACATAATACACTAGTGTGGGGATAAGCACCAAATTGTTCTTTTCTTTTGGAGTAAATTGCAAGTATTAGTTCTTTCCAGGAAGACTTCTGAACAAAAGCCTACAACTCTTGGAGGGATAGGATTACCCTCAACCTCCTTCACAAAAAATGGTAGCCCCCAATGAGTCAAAAGTTTGAATAAGGGCCTTAAAAGAAAGAAGCATAGGAAAAGACACCATAGGAGGATAGGGACCAAATACGACTGCCAGGTTTCGAGCAATCCAAGTACTCCTCATTAAGGATATGAAGCAAGTCCAAAACATCATCAGTTTCTGAATCCCTCACACCCCTCCTCAAACCCAAATCCCAATCAAAACCATTTCTTAAGCTTGAAGGTCAAGGAACCGAGAAAGAGAACACGAGTATCTTTATATCTTGATAGGGCAAAAAGAAAGGGGAACTTATCTTTCAAAAATTCCCAAAATTTTATAAGGTTACCAGAACAAAGGTCATACCTAAAGTTCCATCTAGTTGATTGGGAAAGAGTTTGTGGACCCATGAAGGCAAGAGGGCTGAGCATTAGAAATTTGAAGAACTTTAACAGGGCGCTAAACCTTCGCCTTGGAGGAACAGGAACATGCCAGAAGGTTATGGATAATTGATGTTCCACGCTTGAAACAACTTGGAGTTACGGAGGAAAGGA